ACATGAACAAGAGTCTCGTTCGTTCATTTATGTTCGTGAACGTTCGTTCATTTACCGTTTGTTTACGTTCGTTTATATTCGTTCGTTTATGTTCGTTTATATATTAAGTTTAATATATTATAATTTATTTATTTACTTTGAATTCAAATAATATTTATTTATGTTCGTTTAGTCCGTTCGTTTACGTTCGTTTAGCATGTTWACGAACGAACATAAACGAACACGAACACACCTTATTTCTAAATGAACGAACACGAACACATAGATTTTCGTTCGTTTACCGTTCGTGTTCGTTCGGTTAAGTTAAACGAACGAACATGAACAAGCCTCCGTTCGTGTTCGTTTGGTTCGTTTACAACCCTAAGTACCGATAAACAACTCCTAAACTTGTACCCGACGCGTCTTCATCTTTTGAAAACGGTCAATATATACCCAAAAATAATTACAAAAAGTATGGTTTTGGTTATTTGGGCTTTGTTTTGTTTGGGTTTTAGTTGCACCATTTGGATTTCAGGGAAATACGGTAACACCTTCTAAAACGATACGGTTGCACCGTTAACAAACCTAAATTTTTTACCCTTCGGCCGCAAAATAATACGGTAGCACGTGCCACCCATGCCACCACACCAGGTCTGCCCATGGGTAGGAGTGTCATTTTTGCGGCTGAATGAGGACAACACACCATTTCTATCTGTGCAATTAAGCCATGTTCTATGTAAATAAGCCGTAAGTAAACAACCCAAATAAGCTGTGCAAATAAGCCAGATATACCAATAAGACTAATTAAGCCGCAAGTAAACAGCTCCATTGGATATACCAAAAAAGAATTTTGAGACGTATGTTCTCTAAAACAAAAATCCGAACAAAATACGTTATACAATTTCAAAATAAAATCAAAATATATGTTGTTTATATGCAATTTGGTTTTAAAAAACCATTATTTGACTTAAAATCATGAAAAGAAATCCAACAAAATTGATCAAATGGGTTGAAACAATGGATGGTATACAAAAACCCATTGGAGTGGAACCCTTGTTTCATTATGAAACAAGCAAAAGTTAGACCACATTATTTTTTTAGTGGGGTTTGCTTCCCCCTTTTAAATTTTCTTCGGGTTGGTGTGACTGTTACAATCATTAAAGATATTTTTCAGATCGGAAATAAATTTACTGTTAAAACCAGTCAAGTTTTCAATAAACGATGAAATGATTTATATGTTTGTAGCTGATGTGAAGAGTTGTATTCGTGCTATTTGTATACTTCCTTCATCTTTTTTTTGAATCGTACTGTTGGTTGCGAAGATGGTTCTGTAAATACACTGACAATCTGTCGAACTCGTTGTATTGATTCAGGTTTAAAGATTTCATCTGTTTAGCTGTAGCTTTGCTGAATAATGGAAAAACAAGCTTAGAAAGCTTTCAAGAAAACTTATTACTGTCGAAATACAAAATTTATTACAGTTCGGGGAAGACGTGTACAAACGAGATATGCAGCAACAAGAAGAAGGAAAAAGATTACATAGAGGGACTCCTGAACACTTGTCAGATATGTGCCGAAAGGTCGAGAAAGTTGGAAATCTGATGACAGAAATATACCTAACTTATTTAAAAGAAAAATAAGAGATACAAGTGATATTTATTGGTATATTCTACTCAAAAAGGGGAGTAATGGACTACCTCCAATAAGAGAGGTACCAAATCCCATGCAACTCATAAAGAATTTAGGGTAAAAGCAAAAGCACTTCAATAATTCACCACTAAATATCAATCAACCCCCTTAACTTTTCCAAAAGTAATACAATTGCTTAAAGAAACAAGAAAAAGCCACATGTGATGGAAATCCCACTAAATTAACTCCTACTTTTCTTCCTTATATATCCCACCACCACCATTGCTCTATGTTCAGCGGTATGAACCACAGAACCACCAACAAGCCATCGAAAGTTGCCTATTACGTATCTTTCTTTTGAAAGATTTGTTTTCGGTCTGTAAAACCCCCGAAAGAATGGATCCTTCAAGGATACATGTTTATCGGGCACGAGCAACCAAGAAGCACAAAGGGGAACAACTGTTGAACGATGTCATCTTGTATACCCTGACCACATTAGCATGTACCTCATTTTGTTCAAGTCCGTTATGGTACCCTCCATTTTGTGCCACCTTCAACGTCTTTTTCTTCTTCTCTCTTCCTAAGATAACCTCATTTTTCATCACTAGCAAGGCTCTGTTCATCATGGGCAACCTCATTGTCTTATTCCTATTGGGAGAATCGAAGTTTTTTGCCTCTAAGTCTAAGGCTTACAAAGAGGTTTGCCATGATAAATACAAATGCAAGCGTATTGATCAACTTCAGGCTATCTCCTCAACTGAGGAAGAAACGACTATGAGGGTTAGTAACGATGCTTTAGAACAAGAGAAGCAATTGATGATCTGTGGATCAAAAACTAGCAACGAGGGCGACCGTGATGAGTTTTTTGAATTGTGCAATGATGAAGAAACTTGTGAATCAGGTGTTGATAACATGACCGAATCATTTGGTCATGAGGAAGAAGATTTAAGTTGTTCGGAACAGAACGTAAAAGCAGTTGAGGAAGAAAAACACCAGGGTTTGGAGGGTGATGGGGACGTGAGTTTGCCCGCCGAAGAATTGAACAAGTTGGTTGATGATTTTATTGCTAGAATCATTAGACAAAGAAGGCTTGAAACATAACTTGTAGGGGTTAAATTTGTAAAAATAATGATAGATGAGGGTGGAGAGTGCAATTTTTAGAAGTGCTTGAGAGAATGCCAAGAATGATGCCTTGGGGGAAGAAAATATATAAATTAGTCTCTCTTGTTTTTTGGTTGCAATAAAGAATATTAAACAATTTGCATATTTAAGAAAATAGTATAGAGAAAGGTTGATTTGAAAAATGGTAAATATTTAAGAAATAATAAATGATCCAGGCCTTTCATCTTATCAACATTTGTGGTTTTGATTGTGAAGTATTGGATAATTTCTTGCATGGGTATGTGGAAGATATAAGAGTAGTTTCGTAACTTTTACTAATAAACGGCAAATGGGTTCATATGTGAACCCGTGTGATTCACATATGTTCATATATGAATCAGTTAATTAGTTCATATGTGAATCACATGAGTTTATATGTGAATCAGTTAATTAGTTCATATATGAATTACAAGGGTTCATATATGAATCAATTAATTAGTTCATATGTGAATCACTTAAAATAGTTCATATGTTAATTACATGGGTTCACATATATGAACATATAGTTCATATGTGAATCATACGGGTTCACATATGAACCCGTTTGCCGCCTATTTATAAAAGTTACATAACTATCTCTTCAATTTTTTGCATAGTTGCAAATTTTGATCAGTGAAAGTCGCAATTATTGAGCAGTCAAATCTGATCTTGACCATATGAAGGGTTAAGATGACTTCTCAATAGTTACCGTTTCTCAAAATAACCTATGACAACAAAAACACACACACACACACACACACACACACATATATATATATATATATATATAACTTTAAAATCTAGTAAACTATGATAACTCGATTGTAATCAATGAACCGTGAAGAAAACACACCCATAAAGGAAATTGAGAAAAACCAATACATTATGTGTTATTTTATATGATTAACATATATTTGTTTCACAGTGTGTTATCATCTAAATGATTTAATTGATTAACATATATTTGTCTCACAATGTATTTATTTTACATGTATTTTTGTTTCACAATATAAAAAAAAAATTAGACGTAAAATAACCAAATACATATGAAATAAACATATCCTAAAACAAATATATGTTAACCATAAGGGTGGTGCCTGATTGGTTTGAACTTGGCTCCAAATGTCAAAAGTAACAGGAGGTCCCAGGTTTAAATCCAAGGAGGAATAAAAATCCCCTCGTGACTACGGAGGTTCAAATGCGGTAACTCTGGGCTATCTGCGAAGCAGGTGGTCGCCCTGGGATTAGTCGGCTCGCACAGCGGGTTAGATATCCAGGTTAATAAAAAAAAAACTTTAAATTCTAACCTTAGATAGAAAAAAACATCTAAAATAATATCTTATAGGAGAAAAGCAATCCATCAAATTTTGTGCTCGAGATGCCGAGATGATATTATGGTCGTAATTTATATTACTAGAACCAAATCTAAACGTTTTTGCAAACCATGATGACCATTTTGTAATTTTAGAACTATAGTTACAAAAAATATTACTTTAGACAAACAACATGGACCAATGTGAGGGGATTTTTTGACTCATTTAGCGTTTGAGGCTAGTGGGGTCCTGAGATTGAACTCAAACCTGTCTTATATTTGGACAATGTCATCCCACCCTTTCCCAACTGAGCTATACGTCAGAGACTACGTTTAAAAGTATATTAGGACCACTTTTTGTTCGTTAATAGTAGTTTTCAACATAAGAAATCGACATGTCAACCACAATTTCTTTTACGAACACCAAAAGGCGATTACAATTGAAAGTTGGTTCAGGAATACCATCTTTGTAACAAAATATTATAATAAAGCGGAGCGAATAATGTTGATCCTGACATATGCAACGGTTTTTAAAACGTGACAAGACTTACTTATCTGATGATGTAATATTTGAACTGTATTTTTTTTTCTTGAAAAATAATGAAAACGGGTTAAAAGTCGTTCAAATAATTTAAACCCACAAAAACCCTTTTATTAAAAAAAATAGATTATTAATTTTTTTTTGTTAATTTTTTTTTCTTATTTTCCTTAATAAAAACAATTTAAAAGGTTTTATCATAATAAATTTATTAAAATGATGGATGGGATTGTGACAAATTTAAATAAATAGGGGGCAAAAGTAGAATTCATAAAACCAGAGGGGTGTTCTTGCAATTCCCAAAACAATGCACTATAAAAGCGAAACAGTTTTCGACGTACGACGATGATTATTACTGCTTATAAGGTTTAATGTTTAACATATAACTGTGTGATCGTAGTGATGGATATTACCAGAGAGTTGTTTAATGTCGTATTTCTTCTTTACTCGATCATCAATTTCATCTTTTATGTGCCTCTGATTTGGTTATTCAATTTGTTAAGAGTCTGCTTTAGATTTGTTTATCTTGAAGAACTTGCTGGAAAAGTAATACTCATTACTGAAGCTTCATCTGGTATTGGTAAGGTAAGATCTGTTTTTAAACTTTTACCTGTAGAAGTTTTGATTACGTTTAAAGGAACAACTGATGACTCTGTTATGAATTTGGATGTACGAAAGCATTTGGCGATTGAGTATGCAAAAGAAGGGGCCTGTTTGGCTTTAGTTGCAACGAGAGAGAAGCAGCTGCAGACGGTGGCCCGAGATGCAAAGGCAATGGGATCACCAGATGTGATTGCGATCCCTGCAGATGTTTCCAAACATCAGGATTGTAGCAGATTAATTGAACAAACCATCCAACATTTCGGTAAATGTGAGTCACGTACTTACATTTCTGTAAATATATCTGGATATTTTCAAGTAAATATTTGCCTACCGTTTGAACAAACCATCAATAGATTTTTTTAATTAAATTCAGCAATGAAACACCATTGTTCTGTTTGAAATGATGTAACGAAGGACTCAAACTTTATAAATTCAATTAGTTAAATATTAAATATTGTGATTGTTAGAGGTTGTTTGTTTACCTCTTAATAGTTCTATTAACAGGCAGAGTATGAATCGTTAAGAGGTGAATCTTGTTTGGCAAAAAAAAAATCTGCCTCTTAATGATTCTAAAACCCTCTGAATAATTTTGTATCATGGGTCTCCTTTAACCATTAAGCGCCCTAACTTCATTGTAAACAATTACCAAACAATTATATTTCATTTTGCACTATATCATTAGAGCCACTTAATCATTCTGATCACTTAATTATTTTGCACCGAACCATTCAGCAACTGCCAAACAGCCACTAAGTGTAATTTTGTTTTAATAGTGGATTATCTTGTGAACAATGCCGCCATTGCAACATACGGTTTCTTTGAAGACCAAACTTTTGTCCCTAATGATAATCCCGTCATGGTACGTATCTCTCTTTCAATCATATCGTATTTATATATCTGTGTGTTACTGATTTGGATATAAATACAGGTTTCAATTCGAGCAAATCAAGTTGAACTAGGTGATGAATTAAGATTGATTGTAGATACAACGTATGCGATATTTTTTTTCTTTCAAAAAGATTAGAATTAAAAAATGTATCAAAATATAACGAAATTCACTTAAATTTTTATTTAGTATAACGATAATTTTTTCTCAGTTAGTGTAACAAAAATAAATCATAAATGGATTTCCAGTGTGCATGGCATCGATTAATTTTGATGTGTCATTTTTTGGTGCAGCAACTTGAAATCCACGTTATCAGTAGTTACAAATCTATCGCTAAATACAAATTAAAGTGAAACTCGTTACATTTATACCCAGATTAAGTTGGACAAAGGGTCGTTTACCGAATGTTTACTGGGTCAATTACCCTACCAGATGTACATGACAAAGACTTAGAATCTTGCCCAGTAAGAGCAGTGGACAGGACCGAGAGCCTTATCCTATAAGTGAAGGTGACGACTCTTATTTGATTAGCGCTCCGTTGATAAAAATATTGCATATGATGTCGTTCCAATTGATTAGAAATATAACCCGGTAGGTTAAAAAAACAATGTAGTATTCTAACAAATACTATTAAAACTTTGAGTAAATTACAAATTTGGTCCTTATGATTTGTTGAAAATAAGAATTTTTCGTCTCTGTAGTTTTGAAGTTACAAGATGGTCATTGTGTTTTGCAATAATGTGCAAGTTTGGTCCCTCTCTCTAACGGTTAAATGATGAGTACTTTCGTTCTTTTATCGATTTCTTTTTGTCTTTTACCCCAATCAAAAACCACAAGAACCAAAATCATAAAATCGATTTTGATAAGGGTAAAAGAAAAAAAAAATCTATAAAAAGAACGGAAATATCTCTCATGAACGGAATTTTTTAACAACCGTTAAAAGGGGAGACCTAATCTAAGCGTTTTTTCAAGCTATGATGATCATCTTGTAATTTCAAAACTATAGAGACAAAAACTATTATTTTCGACAAACCACAGAACCATATTTGTAGCTTACTCTAAAACTCATTAAGCCCACTTGACCCTTGATATAATTTGTTATTTGTAATACATTATTTCGGAAAAGATCATGATATTGCACTGATCAAGTAAAAAACACAGATAAAACCCAAAATTTCAATAAAATAGTATGAGTTGTACTTCTTGTGAGTACTGAGCTCTTGCCTTCTTTAAAATCACTGTATATTTGATTTTTTTTTACATGTTGTTTTTGATGCACAGTTATATGGGTGGTTTGCAATTGCTGGTTACAAATCCTTTTGCACAAATATTACATAAAGCAGTAGAACTCAATACTTTGTTGTTATACAGGACATTAACTTTTGGGGATCTGTTTATACCACACATTTTGCACTTCCACATCTAAAGAGGAACCAAGGAAAAATAATCGTGATCTGTTCTTGTGGGGGTTGGTGCGGGACTCCAGGATTAAGCGTGTACAATGTGAGTACATACATTCACCGCTTTACATGTTTATCTTGATTCATTTTTTTGGGTAACTTTGGGTTTCCGAGTCAGCTTATGTGCATTAGTTAATGCCTTTGGTAACCATGAACGGACTAGAGTCATCGTAAATGAACGTCCATGACTGCAAGAGGTTTGGCAGCATCTGGATTCCAGCCTACAGTAGATGAGATTTTCCACTACATCCCCTTTTGGCTTAACCAGTGCACCACAATCCAAGTTACCAAAGCTTTTAATAGTATTCCCTTGTTTTTTACAAACTTGTTTTTAATACTAAAAAGACACACGCTTTATAAATGTCAATAACATTTAAATCAGCATTCTTATCCAAAATCAGTCTTTTTTTTGAAATACAACGTTTTTTTACCTGTTCTTTTCGCAAGAAAGCTGTTTGCTGGTAGAAAACCCCAGTATGATTGTTAAAAAAGTTTCGTTACTGATATATAATTATGTTTTCTTTATCACAATGGTGTTATAGGCAAGTAAAACCGCGTTGGTAAGTTTCTTCGAAACCCTAAAGATGGAGCTTGATTCAGAAGTTGATATAACAATCGTTACTCCAGGATTGGTTGATTCCAACTTGACCGAGGAAAAATGGATGGAAGAGGTACACACTTTATCCCTTAGTTTCTTCGACACAGTATACATCAATATCTGTGAATAAATACAAGCTCACAACTCAGTATTTTAAGAATCCATTAATACAATTTACAAGTGTTCATAAGTTTTATTGTGTTATGATATGAAGCAGATATCTCTATTTTCCACAGGGTTCTTGTTTGATGGTTTTTTGCTTTCTTTATTTTGTTTTGGAATTCATATTGGACCAGGCAAACGTAAAGTGGGCGCCAACGGTATCAGTTGAAAGGTGTGTTAAGGCGATTGTTAATAGCACCAAATGTGGAGATAAATATGTTGTAGAGCCACCGTGGATGATGACAGTATTACTATGGAAGATACTCTGTCCAGAGATTTTCAACTGGGTTATGAACTTTCTGTTTGTAACTTGGCCAAATATTTCGTCAAAAAAAGCAAGATCCCACAAGTCTCGTTGATTTCAACCTGCTGATTTTGGAATGGAGAAAGACGTGTAAGTCGTATCCGTGTTTGTCTTAAAAGTACTGTAGTTGTTTGAGTCAAATTATATGACAGATGATAATTACGAGTGGTTCATATCTGAGCATGCGTTCTCTAAAAGGAAATGAACATATAGTACATAGATGCTTGATCGTTCAATGGTCAAACAAATAAATTCTAAAATATGTTGCAAACAGTATGCAATATTTATATAAAATCCACTTAACAGTGTTTGAGGTTACGGTTTGCGTATATGAAAAAATACTGTTGTAGTAACGTATGTCTTATCAATGTGGCTTAATGATCGAGTTGGACATGTTAGACCATCTCCAGTGAATGCACCAAATCTTGCATCAAACCCTCTCCGATGAATGGTCTGTTTTTTACACTATTTTACTGTCATAAATAGTAAAACACCAAATTTGTTGTACTATTGATGATATATCATAGCCGGTTACAACAATATAGACAAATGAATATCAAAGGGTCTTTGGCCTAGTGGTATCTGAGCCTCTTGCTTCTTAGGAGGTCAGTGGTTCAAACCTCATTAATAGTGAGGAGGGTGTGTGAGTTTATTTGTTACATTTGTCGTATATAAGATATAAATAGGCGCATCATGACATTTATTAAAAGAATGACCATAGAAATAGGCGCATCATGACATTGTAAGATGTCTCGTCCGGATGAACTAGTTGGTTCTAGAAATGTTAGAAAAAGTGAACGAAAAAGATGAATAAAAAGTGCAGACAGAGACACTGCAAAATCATAAAGCAGTTCCTATTAATGGTATATGGAATGCAAGCCAGCTCTAAGATCACATCTTTGGAATAAAATCAGTTGGAATAAGAAGCGAGTATAAAAAATGTTGTCCAAAAACTTTTAAACGAACAATAAATTAATTTATTTTGTGTTTTATTATTATTTTTTTCATTTCTAAACATTTGTTATAATATTAATGTTAGATTCATAATTTAAAGTAGAAAAAATCACAACATTAAGCAATAATTAAACTATTGTATTTTTTTGACAACCAATATTTCATTTAAATAAATTATTCATATATTTTTATAAAGAAAAAGGTCTAAAAACCCAATAATTTTAGTGATTGAAATGATTAAGTCCTTAGACAATTTTTTTGGAACAAATAAGTTCTTGGACATTCCAAAATATGTTAAATAACTCATTGGACTTTCTAAAACCTGTTAGATACATTCTTTTGACATATAAAACTGGTTAATTTGGTAAACATTTTTTGAACCAAATGAACTTTCATATTTTAAACGATTAAGTCTCTAAACATTTTTTGAACCAAAAAAGTACTTACATCTATAAAATGAAACAAATATACTAAAAAAGTACTTACACTTAAAAAAAATATTGATGAAATATATTTTAATTAAAAATAAAAAATATTATGTAAATGATTTTTCAAATTAAAAAATAAAAAAAGATTGAAAAGGATCACGGATAAAATTTATTTTAATTAAAGTTAAAATATATTCCGTTGGTGATTTTTCTAATTGAAAAAAATAGCAAATAATTTAATTAAACTATTGACGAATTAACGATAAAATTTAACTAAATACATAATTAATTGATTAAAGAAAAAGAAAATAAATTAAAATCCTTTAAAAAAATTACTAAAATAATATAAAAAAAACACAACCTTTCATGATGAATGATATATTTTTAAAGAGTATATTTATAAAAATGACGCGTTCTTTTTTTCATGTTTAAAAACATAATAAATCATTTTTATTTCGTTACTTTTTTAAAACATAAATAAAAAAAATTATTTTCATCTGTTGGAGATCCGGAGATGGATGGGACCCGCAGATGGGAGTGTGGATACCACGTGTAGGGTTGCAAGGGTACGAGAGTAAGGACTGGAAATGGAGTTACCTCGAGTACCGGTTAAAAACCAGGTCTAAAGTCTGAAAAGAACTCGTTATCTGATAGTAGCTGTGAAATAATTATGTGTCCAGTTAGCAGTCAATTTTTGTGCCTAGATCTTTACAATACCCAACCGTGTCTTTCGATATCATCAATCGAAAAATACTGTGTTCTCGAATCTAATGTTCTGTTTTGTCTCCAATCTTGTCAAGATACGTCATCAATTTATTAAGCTTCGAGAATTAAATTATAAATAAAATGAAATAATGATGTGTTTTTACGTAAAAGAACATGATTTTTACTCCTAATTTTGTATACCTATTTAACTTGACAGATAAAAGCCCAAATTAGGCCCATTGGGCTTCCTCCATTGATTTAAGTTAGCCCATAAAAGCCCAATTTGCATTTTGCAATATCACTTGTTTCTTGAAAGCCCAAATCTGAAATCCAAATGGGAAAATTGCACATGTATTATACATAAATAATAAATTACATATTCTAATGCAAAATTTTAATTTATGATCCATATTTTATTAAGAGGTCGTTTTACCAAATACTTACCCGGTAAACGTTTACTGATACATTTAACACTATCAATTACTTACCGAGTAAGATTTTAGTCCACCAAAATGGTATCGTGCGCAACAATTTACCTGGTAAGAGCTAACCATGGTAAGAGTCGTCCTCATCACTTACCGGGTAAAACTCTTGGTCTTTGTCTCACTCTTACTAGGTAAGATTTTTTGTCCTTACCATATTCATCCGGTAAGGTAATGTAACTTGATATTCACTTACCCCAGTAAGCGTTTGGTAAACAGCCCCTGAGTCTTAAATATAAGGCTTATGGTCGGTTAACGAGTAATCACTTACCTATAAGAGAAATTATTGTCACTTATTTCAATCTTTTAACATCCTCAGTCATCAAAATAGACTGTTGGTAAACATGTTAAACCCGATAAGTGCTTATTCAACACGACCCTTGGTCCATGTTATGCTTCTTACCGGGTAAGATTTTTAGTTTTTATAATACTGAAACAGTAAGGTAAATAATACGGTATGCGCTTACCCAGTAAACATTTAGTAAAAATCAGCCCCTGAATTTTCATAAACTATTATAGTAAGTGATAAATGTATTTTAGTTGTTGAAGTATTAAATGTTGCAAAACGAAAACTTGGATTGTAAAAACATCTTCAACAGCTATTGTGGAATAATAAAATATTTAAAATTATTAATATGCATATATGTACTATATTGTAAAACATTTGAAAAAAAACTCTTAAAAACCATTCTTTATGTATAAAGTACTGTTTATTAATGTATATTACTTAAAACTTAAGATTACAAGTAATTGTGCATAAGTACAATTTATTAAAGCTTCATTTTTGAATTCGTATAACTAACCGTAGATAAACATAATCAAATACATGTTAAACATCTCATTTTAAATATAAAAATCTAAAATATAATTAGGATAATCATTTAAATCTAACAAAATCATTATCTTTATAAAAATTATATTGTTAAGCCAAAAATAAATTACTTCGTTATTAAACCTAAATTAAGTTATAATAAAAAATTGAAGTAAAGAAATTGTAAAAAACCGAGAAATTTAAAATAGCTAATTTGATATTAATATTGATACATTTTTTCAAATTTTTATGATATCTTCAAATTTATTTTTATTTAAAAGTAATAACGTTATCTTTATCGAAACCATATAAACCGTATTATATATCAACAGAAACAAAAAATAAAATAAAATATTAAAATATAAATGTATCTCATTATATTATACGAGTACCCTTCCTTCTGATATTTTAAAATTAAAAAGAGGCATTTAATATTTAGTTGACCATAATAAAAAAAGTCAACCTAAATGTAATGAGTTTGAATCTCGTGTGAATTGCAATGATGCACCAATAAATGTGTAAATGATTGGAAAGTTGTTACACTAAGAAATCTATTTCTTCTATCACATGAAACTGGAAAAAAAAAATGTCTCTGTCATGGTTTTAAAATTCTATTAATGATTTTATATTATAAGTTTTTTTTAATCATTCAGTGTCTTAATCTTATTATAAACAATTACCAAACAATTATATTTCATTTTGTACTATATCATGAGGCTTCTTAATTATTCTGACCACTTAATCATTCTACACTAAATCATTCACCAATTACCAAACAGCCCATAAATCATCTCTAACGGATTCTTAAAAAAATTATAAATTAAAATTTAAAAAAAAATTACATTTATCTCTAATAGATTTTCTATTTTGAAGAATCCGACATTGATTATAATATTAAAATATTATTTATTTTTTTAAATATTTATTTTTAAAGTTTACTGTTGGTGGTCTCACTTGATAACTATTTTTTGGGTTATCTCCATATTTAGAGAAAGAACTCTTCTACGTATTTTCTTCATTTTGAAGATAGTTTTGGAAAAGCTGTTGGATCAAAATATTGGCTCAAAATCCTTATTTTCTTCATTTTGAAGAAAACGATTGAAGATGCATTAACAATATTTTTAACAAGTGTATCTCGTGTCATGGCCATGACAGTTTTTATCAAGTTAATACCAGCTGAATTTATAAATGTGGGTGTCTGAGTCAGTTTGTGGATACCCAATAATGGATTCAGGATCTTTGTCAAGCGCGTATACATTAAAGGTGGATCACAGGCTTGTAAAATCGCTCGACGTATCTTTAGCCGAATTCCACCATTTCGAGAAACATTTTCAAAGTTTTTTGATTGATTTAGTCGGTATTTTTTGTTTATTTTCCTTCTATTTTAAAATATTCTATAGCATTTTTCTCAAAGTTTAGCAGGTGCGCCTTTAATATCCAAAAAAAAGTTTCTACTTGCTAAGAATCAGTTAAATAGATGCACGAGACCCCGCTCGGGTCTTCATAGGTTTGCACATATGTGTACCTCGACCAATGAACCCTAAAGTTAACAGTGAGACAAACCTCCGATGACCATAAGGAAACTTGAACTACTTAGACTAGGAAATGCTAGAAAAATCTCCGTCATGAATGGTTCAGTGGAACTTCTGTATTGTTTTTGTGTTTCTAACAAAGTGTTTTCCAATGGCCGAAAATACAACAGTTTCTAAAAAGTTAAAATACGAACGTCATAAGTATTTATGTGGGCTTCTAGATTACTACGAACAATCAACCACAAGACTGCCAGTTTGGTTTGAGTTTGGGCTCCAAATATCAAAAGTGTCTGGAGGTCTCAAGTTCAAATCCAATGAGAAATAAAAATCCCCTTGTAGCCACGCAAAGATCAAAAGTGTCTGCAGTGACTTCAAGTTACCCGCAAAACAAGTGGTCGTTTTGAGATTAGTCGACTCACATAGCGGGTTGGATATTCAAGTTAATAAAAAAAATTCTTTTTATTTAAATTAAATGTTATTAAACCTCTTTTATAGCACTTAATTAAAAGTAAATTTAAAATCTTTCAACATTCAATTAAATACTCTCTTAGATCTTTAAGTTAGAGAAGCAAAAAAAAACTCAAATCCTTTTTCAACCCATAATTATGAATTATAATAAGTTATTAAAACAATATTAAAAAGCTTAATAAATTCTATCGACAAAATCAGATAACCTAATATGACACGAAAAATAAATCTGCATATTAGTCCTCTAAAAAAATGCCAAATTTTATTGCGACATGCCTCCCGTCATTTTTCTTTCTCACTTCCATCAGTCACACTACTTTAAGACATCTTTAACAGATTCTTCAAAATTTATGATATGCTATTTTTTCTACAAGTCACATTCTATATTATTAAACCACTATCAAACAGTCATATATATATATATATATATATATATATATATGACTAAGTGAATAAACTGTTGGTTTCATTACGCTTCAAACAATCATACATACATACATACATACATACACACACACACATATATATATAAAGAGAGAGAGAGAGAGAGAGAGTTTGTTTCAAATGCAATCTTTCGCATTTGTATAACCAATGCAACCTAATAAATTGAAATATTTATAAAAATGATGATAGTTCATTTAGTATGATTTAAACATTTATGCAAGATGAATAAAGTTTATTAATTATGATCAATACTTTATATTAAAAAACAATCAAAACTTTTATGAAATTACATATTCATCAAATTAAATAGACGGTTGAGATTGAGTTGTATTGGTTGTACAAATGTAAGGGGTTGTATAATAACCCCAATTATATATATATATATATATATATATATATAGAGAGAGAGAGAGAGAGACTTGAGATCATGTGAGACCAAGGGTTTTTCGTGAGACCCGTAAGACCAATTCTCAACCCTTGGATTAGATATACAATATGAACATTCATAATCACAAAATTGCCATGAGATTTCTCAATAATCACAAATTTGTCACCGTGCAACTTTAGACCATTAGATCATTAGCTTATAAAGTTGATCAATGTATATAAATTGGTCTTACGGGTCTCTCGAAAAACCATTGATCTCACGTGAACCCAACCCTATATATATATATATATATATATATATATAAACCGTACAAACCACCCTCATACGTCGATTTCATTGTTTAATCTTATGAAATCTTTTCATGAAATTGTTTAATCCTGTGAAATTGTTTCATATAATACTTTTTTGATTAATTTGTTTCATATATGGTTATGAAATTGTTTCATATAATATTTAATGAAATTTTAATGAAACTGTTTCATTATTTCTCTAAAATTAAAATAATGAAGATGATAATATCCATGATTAATACCCTCCACAATAAAAATGGTTAATCAACATCTCATAATTACAAAAAAATGAACAAAATGAAAATTTGTGATTGGTTGAATGAGGTTTTCACGGTTTTTACAAATTAAATGGTTTTTATTTGAACGTTTCCCCATATATATATATATATATATATATATAACTGAATAAACTATTAGTCTCATTAAGCTAGTAATGAGCTTGCCCTCAATTATATATACAAAAATCTAACTGTAATTATGTATTAACGTATAAAAGAAAAAGAAAACTTAGCTAATAATAACCAGAGTCGAGTTTTCATACTCGAATAATTATACATTTCAGGGTCATTTCTCTACTCAAACTCGATAAATATAAATCGGAGTTTGAATTACGCGATGAAAGTTCGACGTTTGTAACCCTAATTATATCGTATAACTTTACAAAATTACTATATATCTATATCATATATTCACAAAACCCGAAAAAAATTGTATCCTACGGATTCATACCATTGGTGAATTTCGTCAACGAAATCCAGTTTTCTAATAGTGATATTAATTAATTCATCTTAATCAACCGTGACGGTGTCAGGACTCCGTAACCGCCATATCCTTTAGCCATCTGATCGGTGGCGCCGGTGTTCACCAACCGCCGGCTAGGATTAAATGGACTACACGACCCGTATCCAATGAACCCGTATCCAATGAACCCGCATCCATGGGGCTCCATTTCCTTAGCCTCCATCTCCGCCACCACTTTGAAGAAAAGATCCACGTCGCATGGAAGAAGTATCGGGCCGGGTGTATTGTACCCGTATTCGATTTCAGCGTCTTCCAAAAGCATCTTAAACAAAGGATGGTTCACGTACTTTGTCTTGACGGAAAACCGCTGTTTTTCCGGCCCCACGTACACCGGAAAAAACCCTTCCGGCGACACCCTTTTCTGGCTTTTCCGCTTCGATCGGCACCGCTCCCATGTCTTCCTAAGAAAGTTTTTCTTTTCCAAACTACCCTTCACCGGCGACTCCATGAAAGTGCAAGTAATTATGTGTGTGTGTGTGTGTATATATATATATATATGTTGTGTTTCAGGCGATTAAAGAAATGGGTTTTTTAGGGTTTGTGAGGTTGAAGAAGATGGACGTTAAGTAGTTCTTGTTAAGCTGTGGGTTAAAATGAAGACAGAGGGTGTTCTTGGGTGGGTTATATGTTGAGAAAAGAAGGTCTGAACATGGACAGACAAGTGTGTGATCTAAGAAACTAAAAGTGGTTTCTTTGTTTTGTTCATGAAGCTTTAAATATTGAGATTGAAGGATGAAGATTGGATACGTAGAGAAGTGGGTTATAGGGGATAAAGGATATAGATACAATATATATATATATATATAGAGAGAGAGAGAGAGAGAGAGAGAGAGAGATGAATTGAATCTAACCTAGATAGAGAAGAGACAAAGACTTTTGAGATCAGAACTGAACTAGGTAGCGACTAATACGGATTAGGCTGAACTAATTGGACTAAGCCATGTTTGTTAACAATTTGATGAGCTTAATGGAACTTACAACTTATCTGATTAACTATGTATGATTGTTTAATAGTGGCTTAAGGATATAAAATGACTTATTCAGTAAGTTCAAGTTTATCCAAACCTGCTATTATCAATTAAATCACGACTCTTAGTTAAAACATCCTTCCATCTATGAAAATACCTCACAAACAAAAAGCATCTTAACCCATATAGACAAATTAATCACAAAGTCAGCTTTATCCATACATAACTTAATGGAAAACCAATCAATAAGCCCCTAAAGGAGATACATAGGTGAATGAAAGAATTGGTTATAGTTTTAATATGGGTTATTAGTGTTTTACTAATATTGTCTCGTATTCGTGATTTTTCTTCTGAGCGGAAAAAAAAATGCATTGTTGTCTCACTCAATTCATTTCGTGTAAATCTAATGTCACGTCAAACGTGAGACAACAATATGTTCAGTTTCATACCAATGTTTTGTTGGAGCAGAATGGTAAAACTAAAACTACGATACGTAGTGGTTACACTAATTCAGTATCGATTTAAAACAGGTTCTTTTTCAAACCGGATTGTGAACCAAACTTGAATTTTGGAATAGGTATGTATCATGATGATAATTTTACACAACAAAACAATTTAAATTTGTACATGGTAAACAAATTGAAGGTCCATTCCTTCCAAATCTAACCTAAGCTCATTTATTGTTAATTAGTCATACTTCTCTTCTAGAAAGAAAAAGGATTAACCATAAGGATGGTGTCTGATTGGTTTGAGTTTGACTCCAAAGATCAAAAATGTCTGGAGGTCCCAGATTCAAATCCAAGAAGGACAAAAAATCTCTTTATAATCACGGAGGTTCAAATACGATGACTCTAGGCTACGGGTTGAATATCCAGGCTAATAAAGAAAAGGATTATTTTATAGGTTTATTTGAAAATGTGTTTTAAATGAATGTTGGTGAAAGTATATCTCAAAACCAACATGGCAATAAATGATTATAGAAACACTCACGGTTAGTAGGTGTGGGTTTATTTTTAAATATATGTATGAGCCTATAAATTTGAATCTTATGGTCTACCTCACACGTGTTATATATATAGACTTGGGGTCATGTGAGACCAGCCTGTTTTTGTGAGACTCGTGAGACCAGCATTTTACACTTGAAACTTCACAGCAAAAATGCTATGAAGGTGACTTTTTAAAACCTTCATAGTGTTTTTGCTGTGAAGTTTACGTGTAAAAACGTGGTCTCACGGGTCTCATGAAAACAGGCTGGTCTCACGTGAACCCAACCCTATATATATATATATATATATATATATATATATATGTGTGTGTGTGTGTGTACGCATGTGTGTGTGAAGAGGGGAGAGAGACCAAGTTGGTTTCCGATAAGAACTTTTCTTTTGTGAGAACCGTAAATCATGGGCAACTATCAATCGTTTTTTTTATCCAAGTATGACGATTGTGCGTGTTTTTATGAACGAGACAAATTTTCTTTTAGCTTTCCATTTCTAGGTCGCATGTGAAAATGCGTGTTAACATTTTCTTGTTAAGATATATCTGCATATATGTGATAAAATTTACATAGGTCGTGTTACATATATGAGGTAATTATGTCAAATTCGACCTCCGCTACCACCATTCCACATGAGTCTTACTTCATTACGAAACTACCAATACGATCATTTTCAACCTTTCAAGAAAAATTAAAAAATATTTGAAGACTAAGACGTGGGTGGTTCTTATTGTTTTCACGTAAATTAAAATAATATCATGAGTCGTTTTTGCTCGTTGTATATATATATATATATATATATATATATATATATATATATATATACGTGTTAAACAGTTACGTGTGGAAATTTAAGAGTTACTGATTTCTTTGTATAAGGTACATGATTTTGAAGCTACACAACCTCTCCCACTGATCAAATCATTTTTAAATTACACTTTATACCCTTATAATTAGTTTTTTAGTTTACTTTATATCATTTGCTTTTACGTTTTTTGTTTTACACTCTTATCATATTAATATACATAATCCTATATTAACTAAAATACATTAAAGAATACGTTTATTTTGTTACAAATTAAAAAATTGTTACTGCAAAGTTGGACCAGCAAATTGTCATCGATGCACCACACCTGAAAAAAGAACATATGGATCCTTAGCATCAGCATGATCACATTTGACTTAATTACATCCATACTGAAGCAGAAATGCTTCCAGTTACTGCAGGCCATAAGGGGTTTATGCCAACTTACTACTTTTATAAGTGTATACGGTCTTTCACTTTGTTAAAACATTTTTTTTCTTGGCAAAATATTTATGACATTAACATCATATAGCATAGGGGTGCTCAAAAATCCGACCAATCCGATCAACCGAACATAAAATAACTTAACCCAAAGCAATCTGATGTCTAGTTGAGTTGTAAAAAATTTAAATTGTATGTATTGAGTTGAAATTGGGTTACTATTATTTAAACCCAACCAGCCCGATGAACCCGATATCTTTATATCTCTTAGATTTAATATGATTGTTGAGTTTCTATTAATATATACATTAGACAATTACAGTATCAGACCTCTTCATATACACATTTTCACTCTATTCTCCCTCTATGTATAACTCATTCATATATATATTCAGTAATTGTGAACATATATATGTAAATTAAGAAAATTAATTGAATGCGATATACGTAAAATTTAAGAAGTATGGATAAGTTGTATCAAATGGTTGATGATGAAAAATACATTATGAGTAGAGAAAGAACATATTTAAGGTTAGAAAAATATTTTAATGTACCAAAGTACCAACCCGTACGATTTGGGTTGAGTTGTGTTAAGATTTTTTAAACCACAAGTATTGGATTAGGTTGTTCAAATGTCTCCAACCCAATCAATTCAACCCATGAACACCCCTATATAGCAGTATATTCTAATGTCCATTATATTTTCTGAAGTCTCTTAGGTGTATAAAAGATATGTACATGACAAGAAAAAGTTGTTGATTGATGTAGATATGTTTATGAAATCAATTTTATACTGATTAAATTCGTTTTTATATTTTTTTATTTATTACTTGTGTTCTCAATTTTGTAAAAAGGGTTTTTGTTAACGAATAACTGTTTAAAAACGCTATCCAACGTTCAAAATCATCCCATTGACGTCACAACACATTTCTGGTACGGGTTTTCGCTGAATGATATATTGTTAATTATTAATTAATCACTTTTAAAACATTTGTTTTATAAAAATATTCACGTTTTAAAGTTATATATAGTCAAAAGAGTAGTGCCGTTTTATACCATTTGATATATATATATATATAGAGGGAGGGAGAGGAGCGATCAAATGCAAATCATTCAATTTGTACAAATCGTGCAAACCACCCTCATCCATCGATTTCATTGTTTAATCTTATGAAATTATTTCATGAAATTGTTTAATCTTGTGACATTATTTCATATAATTTATTTTTTTGATAAAATTGTTTCATATATGGTTATGAAATTGTTTTATATAATACTTAATAAAATTTTAATGAAACTGTTTCATGCATTTCTCTAAAATTAAAATAATAAAGATGATAATATCCATGATTAACACTCTCCACAATAAAAATGATTAATCAATCTCTCACAATTAAAAAAAAAAAAACAATCAGGATGCGTGCAGAAAGTCACGGTTACTCAATAAAAATATAGTCAACCGACCAAAATAATGTCTTAATCATTTGAATTTACGATTAAATAATATTTATCTTAGAATTTGACAAAATTAATGTTATGATGTCTACGTCTTAATTAATAAGTTTTCAAATATAAAGAAATTAACATTTAAAACAAACAATCATGCGGATGATGATCATATGATGTCTTGTCCAAAGTTTATTTTATTTTTAATTTTTTTTAATAAGGGACTGTTAACTATACGTTTATTCGGGTAAGTGAACATCAAGTCACATTATCTTACCGGATGAATATGGTAAGGACCAAGAATTTTATCCGGTAAGAACGAGACAAAGACCAAGAGTCTTGTCCGGTAAATAAGAGCGACAACTCTTACCATGGTAAGAACTTATCGGGTAAATTGTTGCATATAATACCGTTTTGATGGACTAAAATCTTATTCTGTAGTAAATGATAGTGTTAAATTTTACCAGTAAACGCTTACTGGATAAGTGTTTGGTAAACGATCCATTAGTTTAATTCTCAACCTTAAACATAATTAATCCATTAATTAATTGAATCGTAGAAAACAAATATTGTACCATGAGATAACCCAAAATAACTGAGTGTGAGGGACAAAAAATTGATTACAGATAATCCCAATTTGTTTCATATAGAACCTGCCTTCAAGGATACAAAAAATTGATTACAGATAATCCCAATTTGTTTCTTGTATTTGAACAAAGTCGTTCCACCTTTTTGCCAACTAAGCTACATGCCAACCACTACAAAAATGAAGAGTATCAGCGAGGGAAAGTTCCTTTGCTGATCCGTCACTAAAGGGGTCTTCCATCGTTGATCCGTCACTAATCGTCCGTCAGTCAAAAGCTCGTAGGTAATGATATTAGCAACGGATCAGTGATGGAAACTTTCAGCGATGGATCAGCGAGGGAATCGGTTTTTGGCCATTCATTTGCTGATCAACAAGCGAGAGATTTTTTCCGTCACTGATACTTTTTTCTAGTAGTGAATGGCAATCTGAAATGTTTTGTCAA